AGTGTAGATGATCTCAATCTTGTCATTTTGTTGATCTGGGTGCTTGGGTGAGTTGCGCTTCATCTTGTGATACTTCGGTGATGTTTCCCTATTGTAGATGATCTCAATCTTGTCAAATTGCTGATTTGGGTGCTGGGGTGTGAAGCGCTTCATCTTGTGATAGTTCGGTGATGTGTCCCCTAGTGTAGATGATCTCAAACTGTCAATTTGCTGATTTGGGTGCTTGGGTGCGAAGCACTTCATCTTGTGATAATTCGGGGATCTTTCCCTTACTGTAGATGTTATCAAACTTGTCAATTTGCTGATTTGTGTGCTTGGGTGTGAAGCGCTTCATCTTGTGATACTTCGGTGTTGTTTTCCCTTGATAAATTGTTGTCAAACTCACCTTTTTGTTGTCTTTGATGCATGTGTGTATGGCGCTTCCTTCCGGGATACTTCGGTGGTGTTTCCCCTTGATAGGGTGTTGTCAAACTCACCTTTTTGCTATCCTTGATGTATGTGTGTATGGCGCTTCCTTCCGGGATACTTCGGTGGTGTTTCCCCTTGATAGATTGCTGCCCAACTCACCTCTGAGTTGTTCTTGACACATGTATGAGCTGCGATTCCTCCTGAGGTACTTCGGGGAACTTCCCCCTTGATAGACTGCTTTCAAACCCATCTCTTGGCGGTTCTTGACACATGTATGTGTTGCGTTTCTTTCGGGGACACCTTGGTAAAACTCTACCTTTGATAGATTTCGTCAAAACTTAGCTTTCGGTTGTGTTTGGTGCGAATGTGTGTGTGTTGCAGTCCCCAGTAACCTGTTCAGTCCACCCCTACCCCTTGCTGTAACTTGTGACTCTTGGTATGTGTATGTGTGTGTGTGTTGCAGTCCCCGGTAACCTGTTCAGTCCACCCTTAACCCTTGATGCAACCGGTGATCCGCGGAATGAGTAGGTGTGTGTGTTGCAATCCGGTAGCCCCGCTCAGTCCTTCCTCTTTTACGTGACCGGTGCCTTCCGAGAATAGTATGAGGTGGTCGGGCGCCCGGGTAGAAAAGGGGGCATGGGGTTAAGAGTTAGGCTTTGTCCGATAAGCTTTCACTGCCGCCACCGCTCCTCCAAGCTTGAACACCTCCAACCCCTCTTCCTCCTCCATCACCCACACCCGTCCACCATAGCTGACCCCCTCCAACCCCTCTTCTTCCTCCATCACCCACACCCTTCCACCATAGCCGACCACCTCCAACCCTTCTTCTTCCTCCATCACCCACACTCGTCCGCCATAGCCAACCACCTCCAAGCCCTCTTCTTTCTCCATCGCCCTCACCCGTCCACCATAGCCAACCACCCACAACCCTTCTTCCTCCTCCATCACCCACGCCCGTCCACCATAGCCGACCACCTCCAACTCTTCTTCTTCCTCCATCACCTGCACGCGTCCATCATAGCCGGCCACCCTCAACCCTTCTTCTTCCTCCATCACCCACACCCGTCCACCATAGCCGACCACCTCCAACCCTTCTTCTTCCTCCATCACTCGCACCCATCCGCCATAGCCGACCACCTCCGACTCTTCTTCTTCCTCCATCACCCACGCCCGTCCACCATAGCCGGCCACCCTCAACCCTTCTTCCTCCTCCATCACCCTTGCCCGTCCGCCATAGCCAACCACTCTCAACCCTTCTTCCTCCTCCTTCACCCACGCCCGTCCACCACAGCCGACCACCTCCAACCCTTCTTCTTCCTCCATCACCCGCACCCGTCCACCATAGCCGGCCACCCTCAAACCTTCTTCCGCCTCGTTCACCCACGCCCGTCCACCATAGCCGACCACCTCCAACCCTTCTTCACCCATCCACCATAGCCGACCACCTCCAACCCTTCTTCTTCGTGCGTCACCCACACCCGTCCACCTTAGCCAACCACCCCCAACCCTTCTTCCTCCTTCATCACCCACACCCGTCCACCGTAGTCGACCACCATCAACCCTCCTTCGTCGTCCTTCACCCACGCCTGTCCCCCGAAAGTCTTTGGGGGTCGCAAGGGGGATGCACGGGACCTCGGATAGGATCGGTTAGGGTAAGTCAGTGAGCAAGGTCGATTAGGATGTGAAGCTCTCTCTCTCTCTCTCTCTCTCTCTCTCTCTCTCTCTCTCTCTCTCTCTCTCTCTCTCTCTCTCTCTCTCTCTCCATTCCGTCCACCATAGCCGACCACCTCCAACCCTTCTTCTTCGTCCGTCACCCACACCCGTCCACCTTAGCCAACCACCCCCAACCCTTCTTCCTCCTTCATCACCAACACCCGTCCACCGTAGTCGACCACCATCAACCCTCCTTCCTCGTCCTTCACCCACGCCCGTCCCCCGAAAGTCTTAGGGGGTCGCAAGGGGGATGCACGGGACCTCGGATAGGATCGGTCAAGGTAAGTCAGTGAGCAAGGTCGATTAGGATGTGAAGCTTTTTGTCTCTCTCTCTCTTTCTCTCTCTCTCTCTCTCTCTCTCTCTCTCTCTCTCTCTCTCTCTCTCTCTCTCTCCATTCCTTCAAAACTCTTTAACCCTTAACCCTTCCGTCACGCCTTCCCCTCCATGGCATGTGACTAACCTCTAGCCTCACCTGTTACATTGCCAGGGAACGAGCGGAAAGGAACCTGGTTCTCACTTGGTGGAAAGCGAGGGCAAGGGAAGGGCTGCCGGTCCCTTGTGCCACCAAGAAGGAAAGGATACGAGACTATTGAGAACATTTGTGACAGCGGAAAGGAGTGTTGTTTTTGTAACAAGGTCAGTTTGACTCAACCATCTTCCCCGACTGCATGACTAAGATGAAGGCATGGTTTTGCTTGAGGGAAGAAAGACAACCCAAGTAACCACAAGGCAAGGGAAACTTAGGCATGTGGGGAGGGGCRGTGTGTTGACCCCAATGGGGATCGCGTTTGGTCTTTGCTTGCGTGGTCTTGTGCAGGTGAGTGTCCGGGATGGGTTGAGCGGGACTGGATCCGCGGGAAACACGGGCAAGGGCGTGGTCTTGTGCAGGTGAGTGTCCGAGATGGGTTGAGCGGGACTGGATCCGCGGGAAACACGGGCAAGGATGGAGGAACGGGATAAGGGAAGACCTTAGACTTAGCCTAACTATGAAGGCGAGAGGGGATTGAGGGTCTGATGCTTGGATGAATGGCGGATGACGCGGTATGGGTTGCATGGTGGTTGAAAGGGATGGCTTTCTCCTGTGCAATGTGACGTCTGGAAAGACTAAGGGCGGTCTTGGATAGGTGGATGTGATGCTAGTGACTCTCGCAAAAACACTAGCGGCTAGGGTCCGGGCGATGCCGCCGCACCCGAAGGATGCCAACGGGGCTGCCGTGAGCCACTAGACTTAGTAAAAAGGTGCGTGGCCCAATGGATGATGCTTGGCCTGCGGACGGTAAGAAGACAAACTCTCAATGAACCTCCCTGGACTGCTTGTGTATTGGAAGGAGCAATTGCCTGGTCAGACTTAACTGAATCGAGAAAACGCCACGAGTGCCCAAAGAGCTACCATCTTGACGCGAGAGCGGAGCTACATCCCCCAATGTAAAGCCCTCTCGCAAGTGGCCCATCGCCATCCATCTCATAGCACTAGGTGGGGGTGCCCCTGGGACGAACGACCCGCGCCCTGAGCGTGAGCGTGGGCGGGTCGAGCCAAATGGGACCCGCAGTGGGGTCGACCAAGGCTCGAAAGTCCTTCAGGGTACGGCCCCTACACGGTGAAGTTGACCGATTGTTGCAGGTTCCCGGATTGAACTTGCAGGACAGCCAAGTGTTGTACATCTATTCTTGCGCGTTGCCTGAGCCCATCCGTGGAGACTTAGTCACCGAAGCAAAATCCGGTAAGTACAACTACAGGCAATTTCGTGACCTCGCTCTGCAAAGGGAACAGATGACTTCTCAAGTCAAGAATTCCTATGCAGCTTAGTTAAATTTGGAGGAGGAGGTAGACAATACAACGGGAAACGAGTTCTCTGGCGACAGAAGCGCCAAGACCACACACTTGACGTCTTTGACGACGACACAGTGGAAAAGTGGCCGAATGTAGAGAATGATAACATCAGTGACTCCGGGAAGGGGGAAGAAACAAAGAGCGTTTTCATGGCACCCTGGCATTGCTGATGGGAAGCCATGGGTGGAAATGGGTATGACCAGAAAGACTTGGCAGGAGCGCATGGACAATGCGCAATGTCTCAAGTGCGGCACACCGGGACATGTGATCGCCTACTGCCCTATGATCCGGAACCCAAAAGCGAACA